TTTTTAATATATAATTAAAAGATAAAACTTATTATAATTTATTATATATTTATAAAATTAATTTAAAAAAAAAATTTTTAAAAATATTAATTATTTATAAAAGTAAATCAGAAGAGAATTTATAGTAAATAAGCAGGTAAATTTGCCTGCAAAACCCTACGATTTAAGAGATAGCAATAATTATATAAAAGTTTAATAATTACAGTCACACCTTTATTTAATCATCATTTAGAAATATAACTAAATAATTTATAGAAGTCTAATTATATTAGCTTATAAATTAGATATATTTTAATATTAATTATTAATAATATATAAATTTATAAAATTAAAATATTATTATTTATAATATTTTTTTATTTAATATATTTTAATTAAATAATAAAAATTAATAATTCAAATAAGAATTTTCTTAAATTAAGCAAAATCAAAAAATAAAAATGCTATTAATTAAAAATAGTATTATAACTGATTTGCAATTAACTACAACTCAGGTTACAACCCAAAAAGATACTATTAATTGCAAACTTTATATTATAATATTTAAGATTCTGCAACTAGTTGCAACCTAGATTATAATTTAAAAAGTTGTAATCTAATAGTTGCAGATCTATCTTTACTATTAATTAATTATTTATTAAGAATAAATAAAAAACAAATTATTATAAAATAATCACAAATATCTTATTATATACTTAAAAATATAAAAATATCATTATTTAATATATTTTTATAAAAAACATTTAATAAACTGAATTATATTTCTATAATAATTAGTTTTAATAATAATTTAACAAAAATAAAGATAAGAAATTTCTTTGTAATATTTAAAAAATAATAAATATTATTATTATATTAAAAATAATAAATTAAATAAAATATTTTATTTTTTTTAAAAAATATAATATAAAAGGTTTTTAAAAAAAATGAAAACTTAAGAATTTTTTAATAAAATTTTAATTTTTATTATATTTTAATTTTTGATAATATTAGATTAAAATGCAATAAAAATTAAAATTTTATTAAAAAATTCTTAGAATCCTACTTTTTTTAACAAATTTTCTATATATTAAAATATAATTTAAATATAATATAGTAATTTATTATAAATAAATAAATTACAAAATTTTATTTAAAGTTAAATATTAAATTTATTTTTTATTTTTTTAAATAATTATTAAATCTATGAATTTATATTAATTTTATACTAAAAATTTTAATTATAAAAAGAAATTTGTTATTTAGTATGTCAAAAGTTGTGTTGTATATACATATAATCAAAAAAACTTAGATCATATGACTTATATAAATAACAAATTTATTTTATATAATAATATAAAATAATTTATTAAAATTAAATTATATTATGATTTAATAATTATTAAATTAGATTAAAATTAAATTTTTTTGGAATAAATTTATATATATATATATATATATTATTTTATTTTAAAAAGATATATATGTATATATTAAAATTAGTATTAAATTTATACAAATTATTATTATAACATATAAAGTGGAATTTTAGTTTAAATTTAATTATTAAATATAAATTTAAAAATAAAATCAATTTAATTATTATTAACTATTAAATATTAATCTATAATCTGAATATTTTTACTAATAAAATAAATAAAGTATGTATATATTAAACTATATTTTATTAAACTTAATTATGTTTGTAAGTTTGATAATACAATAATTTAAGATGTAATAAAAGATTATTGAATAATTAAAGCTATAAAGAATTTAAATAATTAGATAAATTTATTTTTAAATAAATACCTTATTTAAATAAACAAAAATATAATTTTAACAATAAAGTTTTTTAAAGAAATATATAATATTTGTTTTTTTAATAATAAATATCAAAAGAATTACATCAATAAAGATATGTTGCCAAACAAAATGCTAAATGATTCCATAATTTCAGAATAATATCCGATTCTTCAAATCTTATTAAATCCTAATGACTAAATCTTTATTAAAAGTCAATTTTCTAAAGGAGACAATTTATATTTTTTTTTTTTTAAAAAAAAAAAAAGGAATTTATTACGCAATTTAAATTTAATTAAATTTAAGGAAAAAAAAAAAAAAAAAAAAAAAAAGCCTACAAATTCATTACTATATAAAAAAAAAGTTTATCTGCAAGAAATATAATTTTTTTTACTGTAAGAAAAAAAAAAGCAAAAAAATCGTAATATAATACTTTTCATAGAAAGAAATTAAATTTTATAGGTTATAAAAGCTATATAAGGGGTTGATATTTTGGGATAATAATATGCTTAGGCAATATTATATATATAGTGTATAAATATATTGGGGGAAAAAAGAAAAAAAAAGCAAGAAATTTAAATATTTACAAAAAAATTTTTTTTTTTTTTTTTTGATAATTTGAAAAATATAATTAAAGAAAAAAATATAAATGTATATAAACATTATTCCACTATTCCAAATTCTCTGTTTTTTTATCTTATTCTATTATTAATAATAGATTATCCAAATAATATTTATTGGATGTTGTCGTTGCATCTTGAAGCCAAAGATAACATGCTATCTAAAGCTTCGCACATGTCTTTATAATCGGTATGCGATTCCAATGTATATTTCTTCAATTCTATTATAAATAGAAAGGCAATATATATATATATATTATTTTTAATACTGACAAGATGAAATTATTAAAATGAATGTATAATAAGCAATAATATTCACCTTTAAGCAACAAGGAATATCTGGTAATGCGCTGTATGGGCATTATCATATAGTCATTAAGATTAAGTTTAATGTTTTCCTTTTTTCGTTGAGACTATAATTTATAAAACAACAAAGAAAAAAGTGATTAGCAAATCATACAAATCTGACACATAACCAAACGTAAATGTTCTCGATAATTACCGAAACGAATTTGCGATATAATACGCTTTGATTAACTTTTTTAGCAAGCAATTGACGACTTCTCTGAATATTTTCAGCGTATTTTTCGAAAACCTCAAACTCATTTCCATATTTCAGAAACACTTGACCCAGCTTAGAATCATAATCTTCCCATGGATCCGTTGAAGTCTCTATAGTTTCTACAATTGTATCGGAAAGTTTTATCAATTCATTTATATGAGCAAAAATGATTGCTACATCATCTTTATTCATAAATGGATGAGGTGTCAACGATGCTTGGATGCAAGGATCCATGAAACTCTAACGTGAAAAGGGAAGGGTGAAAAAGATGTAAGCATAAGGATGCGTCAAAATCAAAACAAAAATGACCCAGAAGCAGGATGTACCTTTTTGAGGGTCCTCATATGAGCAAGGTAACTTTGTTCGGTCGAATAAATCTCACTAATAATAAATTTCCTCATTTGACGCGCCCTTGTGACAGCATCAGTTTCTTTCTCCATATCAGCTTGTAAAGTATATAAGTCAAGAGGTAATTTTTTCGGTGATGAATGAATAATCTCATCTGCACTAGTTAAAAGTTCATCAGAATTTGAAGCATTGTCAATATTGTGAACATGATTCAACATTTTTAATTCAGATTCCGAGGCGATTTGTTGATTTGCCCTTGTTGAAGACGTATGGGCATAAGAGTTCCTTCGTTTAACATCGCCACTATCACGATTCCTCTTAAATAATCCTTTGATGTGTCTTACTTCAATATGAGACCATGAACGCCTTATATTATTACTTGTACGTTCATCCAGGGAATTTCGTTTTTTTTGCGCAACCGTTGGAATGAATTGATCACGTGATTCAACAATGATCGAATCGCAAACGTTGATTTTGGGTAAGTTTGCAGAACTTTCAGCGGAAGAATCATCATCAGTCGAAGAAACTGGTGAGGTGGAAGATAATTGTGAGAAAAAGGTAGCACAACGATTGTTATTTGATTTTACGCGCTTCCTCGTACCATCACTACAAGTGCAATTGTTGTTTTGTGGCTGTGCTCTGTCATTATTCTTTGTCACGATCTTTGCACGACTAAAACGTTGTAAAGTCGAAGAAGAGGAAGGTGAAGGTGAATGTGAAGGTGAAGGTGAAGGTGAAGGTGAATGTGAAGGTGAAGGTGAGGGTGAAGGTGAAGGTGAAGGTGAAGGTGAAGGTGAAGGTGAAGGTGAAGGTGAAGATGAAGATGAAGGTGAAGGTGAAGGTGAAGGTGAAGATGAAAGTGAAGATGAAGATGAAGGGGAAGATTCTTTTTTAAAACCATTCATATAATCATCAATGTCCTCGGGATTCATGACAAGAGAACGAGGAAGAAATTGGATGGGATAATTTTCTTTTGTTGATGAATTATTTAAGGGGATCATAGAATCAGAAGATTTCATAATTTTGTCGTTGGTGCAGCAAATTATATTTTCTCCTTCTTCTCTATCCAAATTTTTCGAAAGACTTAATGTACGTTTTAAACGTTGGATCCTTGATTGTGATGATTGTTTACAGCAATGTTGTTTTTTTGTAGTTAAATCATCAGAGATTATTTCGCATCGATCAACGTCTAATTATAAGAGAGAAAAATAAATGAGGGTTAAAAAAATATTGTTTGAACATAAATATTTTTTTTAAAAAAAAAATTTTAATATAAAAAAATGTAGGGACGAGAAAAAAAAAAGTACTTTTACAAAGAAATTTGTTTGTTTGTTTGTTCACAAGAAACATCAAAACAAAAAATACAAGTTGGAAGGAACACAATCCTTGGAATTCTTTGAAAAGGTCCTGTTTTCTTTTTTTTTTTTTTTTTTTTTGGATAGAATATGGGAATGAGAATGAGAATGGGAATATGGGAATATGGAAATATGGAAAAAAAAGAGGGGGAAAATGTTGAAAATAAAAGTTTAAGAGTGGGTAATATATATATAAAAAGGCGCGACGGAATTATAATATTGCATAATCAACTATATCAAACTAACGAGAAATAAACCATCGAATTGATTGATGAATTTACAAATAAAAAAAAGTTTATTTTATTTTCATTTATCATCGATCAAAATAAAGGGGTGTGGGGAAGGGAACGAGAACCAAACCAAAAAAAAAATAAAAAATAAAAAATAAAAAAAAATTATTTATTGATTTATTTATCATCATACGTTATACATACCATTATTTTGAAGTTGTGGCTTATTAAGAATTGGTAGCGAACAACGAGAATTCGAAAAGTGACTATTTTCCATAGGTTCAATTTTAATATCGTTATTAATACGTTTCCGACGAACTGTAAAAAAATTTTTAATAATAACTGGGGATGTCGTCGCTATATGTCGTATATTTATATTATTTGTATTGGGACTATGATTATCATTAGTCTTAGTTTTTATATCAGAAACGCTAGATAATTCTGTTGGGTAAAGAGATGATGATAATGATGATGATGTGGAGTTTGAGATTAAATTAATAAATTTTAATCTTAGGTTTTCATTGGCGTTTGGTTCTGTAACGTCGTCAGTATATACATTATATTGATATGACGAGTTGCCGTCGTCATATGCTCGTTCGTTAAATATTTCGAAATCGTTAATTTTTCCTATTGAGGTAATTTGCCTGTTGCTGGAGTAAAATATTTGGTTTAAGTAATAAAAAAATAATATTTAAAATATAATAAGGTGATTTACTTAAGTAAGGACTAGCAGGTTTAAAATCAATAAATTTGGTTACTTTGAAACAATACAAACCTTATTATATTTTTTGTCATTACTATGTCATTATTTATTTCCTTGGAGGAGGAAGTTGTTGACATTGTATAATCAAACAAGTTTGTTGAACTTAACGTTGAGCACATCTCTTGGATGAGGAGGAGGAAGAGGAGGAGGAAGAAAAAGAAATTTGTTGTTAATAAGACGTTGAGATTTTTTGGACCCACGTGGAAAATCAATATTTGGGTATAAAAAAATTTGTATTCAGATAATGATACGTTTCCTTTTATAACTAGTATAACAAGAAGAATCCTGTTTCTTACAAGATTTATTTTTATAAAAAAATAGGATTAGTGAAAAGGTTAAATTAAGAAAGGTTGACTAAAATATTTTATTATTTAAAAATATGGCATGTGTCATGTAAGATAAATGATAAAACAGATGTTGTTTATAGGAGAAATAAAAAAGTCTAAATGTGAAAATGAAAAAAATTAAAATAAAAAGAAGAGTTCAAAGGATTTAAATTGGGGAATCTTTCTATTTTATAATCAATCAAATTGTATAATGACAATTATGGGTTGATATTTCTAATTCAAAAAAAAAAAAGAATGAATGAAACAAATACAAAATATGAGGGGAAAAGGTTTCATAATTATAGGGTTTTATTTTTCATTTTTTTTTTTATATATTCGTTGAAATATAAAGTAAAATGCTATAAACGGATGGTTCCCAACTAGGAAAATTCTTCTTGTAAATGATATTTATTCAATATATACTCAATGTTGTAAATGTCAAAAATTCCGAGTTGTATTACAAAAATAGATTTTCGTTATACCGATAACCAAGATAGTAAACTTAAAAATAAATTTTTTTTTTATATTAACGGAATTTTAAATTTTCATTTAGGAAAAAAAAACTTGATAATAAACTAGTTTAAAGTTTTTGACATAAATCAATCTTTCTTACTGATAAAATATGGCTCACATTTTATCTTTTATCCATACAATATTGAGAAGAGATTTTTTTTATCAAACGTAAACAAATCGTTACATATACTGACCAATAATATTGACATAATTAATAGTTTTAATGCAATTACTCATGCAAAATTTTCATGGCGTTTTTCTCTCAAAAAATGTGAGATATTCACTGCGCACAATCAACAAGAAATGTTACCAAATCATCTTAACCAGTGCAAAATAAATGATTTGTTTAATGCTCACTCATTCTTGTACATGGGAAGATATAATATTAATAGATTCGGACATAAAACAAATATTAATCAATTAGGCGTTTTGTTTGTTTTAAATGTTTTTCCTTTCCTTTCCTTTTGTATATTTCGTGCTCATCTATGAATTGATCTTTCCGCCGAAACAAGTTTTTCAACAAGTGGTTATTTATCATACCCCCCCGAATATATCATACATATTACATATACATGTATTGTACAATGTCATTCAATGTATACAACTTTGTCTCGACGACTTTTTTTTTGTTGTTTTATTTATTGAATATTAATGTGATTGACTCATAGTAAGTTCCATTTTAGTAGTCACTTACCCTGAAATATTTGTTAATAGATCCATGCCTTGTTAAATTGGCACGATGAATAAATAAATAAACAACCAGGATATCAATGCGTGAACGGATACTCGCATTTTAAGATATTCATTAAACATTATCCATTTATAACATGGCTGTGTAAGTACTATTTATTTCCTTTTAAGAAAAGAAAGTAATGGTCTTCTATGAGAAAGAAATCGACGCAAAATTCGATAAAAAGACTTTTTTTTTTTCGTTCATAACGTATAAATGTATCTCCGAAAAATCATCTAATTATCCGAATCGACCTTTTTTAAAAAAAATTGATAACGTGATCAACTCATTGTGATAATGGATATGATAAAATATTATCATTGAAGAATGAAGATCCGAAAAATTTGAATTCTTTAATGCCTAGCTTAGTGATTGATGTTCTTTGTTTTTTTTTTCTTTTCGGACCTACCTTTGCATATCTTGCATAACAAAAAAAAGTTTCAAAATTGAAGTTCCGTTATTGTAAAGTTGTTCTTATTTTATAATGAGAAATTATAAATGATTAGATGTTAATCCCCCAAAAAAATTCTCAGACTTCTTCCTTCTTAGCCTGATAAGTAGCGATCAAACTTTAATCGAAGGCAGTTTATGCAAGTTGGCATAGTGATGTTTTGTGCATTTTTATTAAAAAAATGAGATTGCGCCCAAGTGGAAAAAAAAATATAGAGATTTAGAATTTGTCACGTTACGTCACTACTAGGCACCCATTTGGGCATATTCACATTTTCAAAGTTTACAGAAAAAGAGAAAAATAATAAATAATAAGATTTTTTAATTTATTTTTATTATTTTTTTTAAAGTTAGTTGGGAAAAAATAATACAATTAATAAACCCATTTTCACAGTTGTATTGAAAAAAATGCTTTGTTTACTTGAACCCCTTACTTTTATTTTGTGATTAAGACAATGGATAAAATTGTTTTTGTACGAAGGGTATAAAGAAAGTTCAATTTAACAATGGGTAAAAAAAAAGGTCTTTGTGATACCCTATTTATTATTTGAAAATCGGTTTTGGATTATAAATCGAATTTATACTTGATATATAGGGAAGTTTATTTAATTAAAAAAATTTTTTTTTTATATCAATGAAACTTGTACAAAGTAAGACAAGATAATGCGTCATCTAACTTCCGTTTAGGTTTAAAAAATTTTTTATGTCTATATATTTGAATACCTATATTTAACGTCAACACCACCTAAAGGTAGTTCCTAATCCCCAACCTTTTGAGGAAATTATTTAATTTTGGGAATTTGGAATTTTTTTTAAGCAGGTTATTTCATGCTGACCTAATGCTGGTCGAAATTATGGGATTGTTCACAATCCCGATTTGGGTGGTGATCGGATTTTCACGTCAATTCTCGTTTTTTTATTCAATTATGTAGGAATTAACAAATACCCGTTTTTGTCAAGAATTTTTGTGGGTCCCTTATTTTCCGATTCGAGATAGTCACTTTTTTTATTATATTCATTTTTTTTTATTAAAAAAAAAATACAGATAAAATTATCGGATCATAATGAGTAAATCGCGTCTATACTAGGGTTCATTGTCACTTGCCTTTTATATTCTAGAATTCAAAGAAGAACTTTCGGAGCCATAGATTTCGGCTTAATCTTTTCTCAGCCTAAAACGTTGAAATGTACCCAATCAATCTCACACGTTTTTTTATTTAAAAAAATAAAGGTTCATTGATTTGGTGTCTCATTACACATGTTTTTAAAAAAAGTTCATGATTTGGTGTCATACCAAAAAGTATCATTTGTGGAATCGCGGAGCTTTTATGGGGAAAATACGTTGATATTCGGACATCATTTTTTGATTAATTTGAGTACGCGTCACACCTGGTATTTGAAATCAATATGTGTGCGTAAAATCGGTTAAATAGTTCCCAAATCTAGCTTGATTAGAAAAAAAAAATTCTTTCCTTATACAGATATGAATATATAAAACAAACAAAAAAACGCGTCTCACTTAATTTGTACAAATTCATATGTCAATTTAAAAAAAAAAAAGTAAACATTCCCTCGGATAAATTGATTAAATAAGGTATTTTCCTTTTTACCCACGAATCGAAAAATGCTCGAACTCATTTTAGTAAGGTTTCATACTTGATCTAATCCAAATTCGTTGCTTATGAATTGATATTAGGAATTAAAGTTTCGAATTTGTCCTTTTTTGGATCCAGAATATGTCAAACCATTTAATCAATCTCACGTAAGGAAATTTGATTATCTATCTGTTTTTTTTTACAAAACAATTCCAATTTTGGAGAAAAATAGGTTGACATATGATCTCTTAATCATGTGGCTACAAGCACGATGCGCAGCTACAATTTCCGGATGTTGGCACAATTAGCTCCCATCATAAAATACCCGAAACGATTACTTTGTTCCACGTAACAAAAAAAAATAATAATATGAATTACGTAATTCATATTAATCTCGCGTCATTTAATATCGCAACATTGATCTATAGCCTATTATCAGGGAATAAGCTTATTCTTCTTAATTCCAATGACGTAGCTAATGTAGCTTGCTTGTAGCCAAGGCGGAAAACTTCCAGGATATGATGTATTGTTAGTTAAGAGTCATCGGGGATCCCATGATCAATACACTTTCATGTAAATCGTGTATCATTTACGGAAATATTTTTTATAATTATTTTTATATCAAAATGCAAATTCATTCATACAGTAAAGGTATGGTTTCCGTTAATAATTCAAATTGGATTTCAAAATATTTAATAAGTTTTTTAATAAAAGATATCCAAACAAATGTCGAAATGATTTCTTATATCGAAAATCATTTGAATATCGAACATCCGAAAATCATTTTTTGAATATCTTTCGAAAATCCATATTTTAGGTATCGAAAATAAAGCATTGTCTTCCTATGTAGATTCAAACCCTTTTGGGTAAATTTTGCAAAAAGTTCTTTCATTCTTTTTCGATATTTTATATCAAAAACTTTCGTCGTAATATTTATTTGCTAATGAATATTCGAATATATTCTTACTTTCAAACGAAAATCCTAGTAAAATATATGGTAAATTCACTGACTTGAATGCCAATTCGTAATATAATACAGCATAATTTTATTGATGATATGAAAGGAGCAGAAAATGTGACCTCTTCAATGTACTTTTATAAATTCCAACAGACAAACATGACTCGTTGTTACCACACAAACATTTACCCTAATGGAGAAAGAAGAAATTTTCGTTTGACTATCAGTTTCCAAATATAAATATTATCTCAATAAACGAATGTATCCAAGAATCCCTTTTTTTTCAATTATAAAAGAGAAAGCCCTTTATAAATTATTCCTGTTGCTGATTTTCAAGTATCGTATACATGTTTATTGTTTTAGATTTGATCTGATTTCAGCCAGATTTAACCCAGAATTACGTTTGTATAAAGTTAGTATATTTAATAAATCAGAATTAATATTAACCAAATTAAAGAAAAAAATTATCTATTACAGTAAGCTATTAAAATGCTTTTATAACATT